GTAGGGTCTGTTTTCCAACAGGCTGTTTTGCAACATGCAGTTTTGCGTTCATGTGTTGGAATATGACACCCGAATCATGGTTGATCGTTTGTTTTAAATTCACCCTGATAAAATCATCCAATCACTTTTTGTCAATACGAAGAGATAGAGCACAACACAAATAATTATTCTGGGTGTATTCTGACGCTTACACATTTCTGAGATTCATAGAGCGCAATATTGCGAGAGTGGGATTTTTTATCCTCCATCTTGTAAGGCGTTCGTTTCTGGACAAAATTTCAACATTCAACAAAGTCTAACTCGCGCCTGAACGATGACAGTTTTCAATCTGCAACACATCATCCATTGGTAACGAAACAAACGCCAGTCTGAAGTTGCAATCACTTTTGAAATAATCTAATACAATTGAATTTTATAGATATTAACACAGATCACCTGAGATATAAAAAAAAACAAGAGTTACAATAGAGTAATCGACTGCGGGATGAAAATAGAATGTGAATTAACTTAGAAAGGAAAGGAAAACGACATTTTTATTTATTTATAAATGTCAGCAATTTGCAGTTATGGACGACATTTTTTGGTAGTTCTTCGTCAATGATTTTCAAGCGTACAGACATTAGAAAAAGAAATGAATGAAAAACATGAAAATTGTTCTCTCTCTCTCTCCCTTCCTCCCTCACTTTCTCTCTGTGTCTTTCTCTTTTTGCCTTATTTTATGAATACTAATAAAATAAGAAGAAGAAAGAAAGAAAGAAAGAAAGATGATAAGCTTATAAAAGGAGAAATTAATAAAGAAAGATAAAGAAAGAAAGGAAAAAGAAATAAAAACAAGAGAAAGAAAAATGAAAAGAAAGAGTAAAATGAAAAGAAAGAAAGAATGGAAAGAAAGGGAGAAAGAAAATAAGGAGAGTGATAAATAAAGAAAGAGACAAAAAGTGACTGAAAGAAATGATAAAAAAATAAAAAAAGAAACGGGTAAATGACAGAAAAGTAAAAAAATTAGAAAAGAAAGAAAGGAAAAGTAAAAAAGACAGAAAGAAAGAAAAAAGAAAGAAAGAAAAAAAGAAAGAACGAAAGAAAGAAAGAAAGAAAGAAAGAAAGACAGAAAGAAAGAAAAAAGAAAGAAAGAAAGAAAAAAGAAAGAAAGAAAGATATAACGAAAGAAAGACAGAAAGAAAGAAAAAAGAAAGAAAGAAAGAAAGAGCAGAGACAAATAAAATAAATAAAAGTAATAAATAATTAATGGACGAAAAAATATTCAAAAATAAAAAAAAATCAAGAAAAGAAAAATTAATGAAAAAGAAAAGAAAACAAAAAATAAAATGAAATCAAAGAAAATAAAAAGAAAAAGAGAAAAAGTAAACAAAATGAATGAAATAAAATAATCATTGTAAAAATCAATGAAAGCGGCTCATGTATCTAAGATTAAACCTAAGAAAGGAATACATACATATATATATATATATAATTAAGAAAGCAGAGGCTTTAGAAATCCATGGTAATATTCGATTTCGTGAAAACGAAATTTCGATTTCGCTTCATCAGACCAAACGGTTTCAACAATGGCCTTAAAATTTTATCAGACACAAAAATGAAATATTTAAATATAAATTATGTTTTAAAATATAGATTCAAAAAGCAGAAGGGGAAAACAAAGAAAGAAAAAGGGGGGAGAAACGGGGGCATAGGGGAGGTGGGTAACATAGAAGATGAAACGGTTGTCGTTCAGAGTAGACAGGTTAGCCTCTTTTTCGCCGGATGTGGGAAGTGAAGTAAAGATAGTAACTTCAAAAAGGAACAGAGGAAATCAACAAAGGAAATAGATCAAAGGAATAAATATCATTTACTCCGTTCTTACAATGAGATCTCTGTGGATTTATATCCTCTTTGGAATTATTCTTCATACGGATTACCAAAAATCATATATATATATATATATATATAAAGTAATATAATTTTAAGGTGTGCTATATTTATAAAGTTCTCAATATCAGGGATAGAGCGTATGTAAATATAAAAGTGAACTTTGAAGGCGACAGGCTGTCTCATGCCACACCTGATGATTGCGTCTAGCATGAAACAGTCTATCATCTCTGAGTGCTGAATTCAAAGTTTACTTATATATATATATATATATATATATATATATATGTGTGTGTGTGTGTGTGTGTGTGTGTGTGTGTGTGTGTGTGTGTGCGTGTGTGTGTGTGTGTGCGTGTGCGCGCGTGTGTGTGTGTGAAAATATATAGAAAATAGGAAGGAACTGGTTAGGTAAAAATCCAAAGTCCTTAGTATTTTTAGTTATTATTTTTTAAAAATAGTGCTCGATACAAAAGTAGAGCATAAATATAATTATTTATTTAAAATATAATTTAACTTGAGACATAAGAAGTCTCATAAGACTTCTTATGTCGCGAGTTGGAATAATGAAATAATATATATATATATATATATATATATATATATATATATATATATATATATGAAAAAAAATATACGGAAAAAACAAAAAAAAATCCTTATATACAATGATGCTGTTTTAATGTTAATTGTATATAAGTATTTTATGTTAATTGTATATAAGTATTTTATGTTAATTGTATATAAGTATTTTTGTTTGTTTTTTCCGTATATATTTTCTTCATACTGTTGGATCTATATCTGTATATTTGCTTACATATATATATATATATATATATATATATATATATATATATATATATATATATATATATATATACACATATATACATATGTATTTCTATATATATATATATATATACTACTGTTCAAAAGTTTGAAGATACGGCCAGAATTATCATGGAATTAACTTGACTGTGCAAAATTAGAAAAAAATAAAAAGGCTTCCTCGTGTCAATGAAAAAAGAAGGCAATTCATTATCAAACACATAGTTTCAGAAAATTTTGCAAAAAATGACAAAAATTTGTGGTGCAGTAATCAAGGCTAAAAGAGGATATTTTGACAAGGGCAATTTTTTTTTTTTCTGTTTGTCATAATATAAAAAATCATATCTCAATTTTTTTATATATATATATATATATATATATATATATATATTCGCGGTACTTATTGGCTTATTTGAGAACTCTCATTATTAGTAATAGCTAACATATTTATTTGCGTTGATGTGAGTTTTTGACCCTGGATTCCATGCCCTTTATGGTCGTCAGATAAACAGTTTTATTAAAGCTTCACCAGAGAATGAAATTTGGAGAAAAAAGAAATATATATACATATGCTTCCGTGCGTGCGATTGAGTGAGAGACGGCATCAAAAAATGTCAGACTCCTAAAATGTATGAAAAATATTCAAATGCTATAAAAACATTATCAGGGACTTATGTACAACCATTACACTGTCAGGCTAAATTTGAACTGGTGTTATATGAATCGTGCTAATAATCTCTTGTGGCATTTCAAATCATCTGATCAAAAATGACCCCCCCTCATTGTAAGAAAGAGGAACAACCCAAGGTGCACGCTAAGAATTGCGGATGCTAGCAAGCAAGGACGGAAATTGAAATATCTGATAAGTTTTTTTTGTTTTTTTTTAAAAACAGACTGCGAAAAACGGGACACCGAAATCTGAAGACTTATTGGAATGACGAAAGGTGGGTGGAATTTCGAACTGAACCTTTTATTTCGTCCACCAGGGAAAATTATTCTATTTGCACGTGCCATGCCTCTTCCAGATGTCTACGAGTCACATGGACTAGTGGTTAAAAATGTTGGTTGAATCCACTGACTTGACCAAAAGTGTGCGATTTCAATACCTGGCTACTGTAATAGTGAATAAAAACTTCGGGAGTTCAGTTAAAAGGAGTTAAATGAGATTTCTGGAAGAGGCATGACACGTAGAACTAGAACAATCTATCCAGGAGGACGAAATAAATGGTTCGATTCGAAATTTTAATTGCCGAAAGAAGGGCGGAGCGTACAACCGTCGAAACATCATGAATATGGCAATAAAGATGAGGAAACCAGCCTGAACATTGTAAATAATGTAAATTGTTGAAATAACTCATCTCAGAAATACAGACAGATCCTGAAGAAGGCCAGAGCGTACAAGGGTCGAAACGTCGTGAATCTTGCAACGAAGATGGGGAAAACAATCCGAACAATACATTGTTCGACTGTTTTCCCATCTTCGTTGAAAATAACTCATCTCAGAAAAAGAGACAGATCCTGAAGCAGGCCGGGCAGTATGATGCCGGAAAACGTCGTGAATTTGGCAACGAAGATGAGGTCAACAGTCCGAACAATATAAATAATGTAAATGGTTGCAATACTTCATCACAGAAATATAGACAGATCCTGAAGAAGGCCGGAGTGTACAACGTCTGAAACGTCGTGAATATGGCAATAAAGATGATGAAAACTCTCCGAACAATGTAAATAGTGTAAATCATTGCAATACCTCATCTCAGAAATATACAGATCCTGAAGAATGTCGGAGCGTACAAGGGCCGAAACGTCGTGAATATGGCAAAAAAGATGAGGATAACTGTCCGAACAATGTGAATAATTATAATATCTCACTGCAGAAATATAGACAAATAAGGAAAGTTTCGTTGGAAACAAAGATTTCTGAAGTGCTACGTAACATCAATGCCCTGATACGGAAGAGAATATTGGACAATTTTCTTATATATGAAAAGGAGATTTTGGGTAACAAAGATCCGTTTGTACGGAATAAGGTTAGAAATATTATGGTTTAGGTGTATAATCAGAGTGGGACATTTTAAGGAAATATGAAAAAAAAATGCCCTTGGTACGTAGTATCAAAAATAAATAGCTGGAATTTTTAGTAAACAAGGTTTGGAGAAATTGACACTCACAAGGCGTATTGAATGGAAAACAGCGAGTAACAGGTTTGTGTAAATGGAGGGCATAGCAGGAAGTATGGATAACAGAGTGGGAAAATGTATTCAGAAAGGCAAAAGATAAGAAATATCTCCTCTTGCATGATAGACTCCTTAAAAACGATAAGGATGTGGAAGGGAAGTAATCGTAAAAAGTAAAAAAAATAGGAAAAATTGTAAAAAAGAAAGAAAAAGAAAACTGAAAAAATGGCGCAGCACATTCTTCCTAAAGTGAAGAATTAGAAGAAGAGATGCAAGGAAGCTGTAAAGAAATTCAACATAAAAGAAAACAAAAAAAAATGTAGAAGTTGCTAAAAGCATGTTTAAAAAGAAAAGAGATATGATTATATAATACAAAGGAAAAAGAAAAACTTATTCCGTAAAAAAGAAAATGAAAGAAAGACGATATAATGCTCCCAAAAAAGAGAAATTTTCAAAAAGTGTAGGAAGTAAAGAAAGACGATAATGCTATGCAAGTGAGACTTCCCCAGAAAGAAGACGAAGGTAAGGTGACAATACAATGGCGAGGAAAAAAGGAAACAACGAAAGAAAGAAAGAAAAAGGACGTATAATACGCAGTAAAAAGAAATTACCAACAAAAAAGGAGACGAACGAAAGAGAAAATAACGAAAAAAATAGACCCACCGCAAAATAAACAAAGAGAAAATATAAGAAAAATAAAAAAGACATTCTAAAAAAAATGAGAAAGAAAGAAAATATATAAAACCAAGAAAAAAGAGGGACTACCAAGACATGCAAGAAGTAAAGAGATGACAGAATACTAAAATAAAAGGACTTCTAAAAAGAAGAAAAAGAAAGAAATACTATAATATAACGTGAATAATGAGAGAGAAAAAAATCCCGTACCAAAAAAGGGAGACAAATGATAGAGAGGATATAATACTATGAGAATAAAGAGACATAAAAGAAAGGAGTTGATATAATCAACTGAAAAGAGAGAGATTTATCTCCAAAAGAGAAAAGGAAAGAAAGAGATGATTTAATCCAAAGGGGAAAAAAAACCTTCTCCAAAGAAAGAAAGAAAGAAAGAAAGAAAGAAAGAGACGATATAAAAGAATAAAATGAATAAATAAAAGTAAGATACGATATGATACTAAGGAAGAAGGGTAACATCTCCCAAAAAGAGAAGAGAAAGGAAAGAGATTATATGATCCTAAGGCAAAAGAAAGAAAGAAAGAAAGAAAGAAAAAAGAGACGATATAAAAGAATAAAATGAATAAATAAAAGTAAGATGCAATATGATACTAAGGAAGAAGGGTAACATCTCCCAAAAAGGGAAGAGAAAGGAAAGAGATTATATGATCCTAAGGCAAAAGAAAGAAAGAAAGAAAGAGAGAAAGAAAGAAAGAAAGAAATGATATAAAAATAAACAACCAATAAATAAAAGAAATATACGATATGATACTAAGGAAAAAGAGAGACTTGAAGAAATAAAGAAAGAATTAGGTTTCGATAGAATATTAATGAAAAAGAGAGAATAAGAAAGCGAAAGAAAATACTAAAAAGGCGAGACTTTCAAAAACGAAAAAAAAAGATGGTAGTTTATTTTTTCACAGTAAAAGAAAAATCAGAAAAGCTATAAAGAGATTTGGCAAAAAGAGAGAAATAAAAAAAATTAAAAGAAATATGAAAGAAAAAAAAAGGTGTTAGAAGAAGAGAAAAGAAAAACAGGAAATGTCGAAGTCGGTGGGAAGCGGGAGAATGGTAATGGCTGCTAAAGAGGCAGCATAAACTGAAAGAAACAGGAAAGTTAACGTTTCAGGTCAAAAGAGTGGATAGTCGGGGAATAAGAAAAGATGGAGAGCAAGGATTTCGTTGATTTTTTGATAGTTATAAAGTCGGCGGCAATGCTGCAAGTTGGTAGCAGAAATGGTGGTGCCATAGACGAAGTTCCTCGATATGGATTTTTACATGTAGCCCCGACTATATAGAAGCTGTTGCTTTTACGTTATTTTGTATAGTGAAGCGCCTAATTCTATTTTTTACTCTTCTTCTTACTCTCCCTCATCATCTCTGCTTTTTTTTTCCTTTCTTATCTCTTTCTCCATACTTCTCTTTCTCTCTAGAGGGGTCGATATTCTTATATCGATCGGATATCACCCTCAGCATACCCAATCACTATCACCGCCACCGCCAATTCTGTTTCAGCCAACACCACAACTACGACCATTGCTACCACTGCAAACGCAACTACCACCGACCCAATGGTTACCACCATTACCACTTCCACCATCCCTTATACTTAACATAACACCTGTCACCATCACCACTATTACCCAAACCATCCCCTCCATTACTACCTTGACAGGCCACATGTACCACCACTATCAGCTTATACAATATGTTACTACTATCAACACCCTTCACCAACACCAGCAATAACAAAATCATCAACCCCACCACCCCAACCGTGTGTCCGCCCCCACAAACAACGACGTCATCCCGAAACCGTCTTCCTCTTCCTACTTCTGCGCCAATTACCCACCTTTTCTTTGTACCATTCTCTTTTCATCCAGACCTCAACTCTGTACCCCCTCCTCTTCCTGCGCCTCACGCAACACAGACGCACGGCCCTTCATCTTCTCTACCGCTCCCACAGCCGCGCCTCGACTTGACTTTATTCGCCTCGCCCCAGTCTACTTTCACTTTCGCATCATATTTTTTTTAACTTTCACTTTCACTTTCATCCCATGACGTACTATCTTCACCTTTATCAGTAGTGTTTTCTTCAGTTCCCGCCTTTTCTCCTTTCCCCCCGATTTTCCCCTCTCTCTTTATTCCTCTCCGTCTTCATCGCATTTTCTTCTCTCCCCCAAACTAGCTGCACTACAAACAGAAGCGGCGGCAGAGGTAGTTACGGCTGACAGTCAGTAATAGCGTTGATGGAAGCGGTTACAGTAGATGATGATGAGTCGGGAGATAGGGGAAAGGATGGCGAGGGCGGTGTAGTTGTAGTAGCAGCGGTGACGGTGGTGGTGGCTATGACGTTGGCGTTTATGAATGCTTGTGTCATGTTGACATCTTTTGATATATAATAAAAGAGAATGTCGTATTGACCTTAACTTAAAATACAATGTTTATTCCGTCGTCTTTCGTAGAGAGCGGGTTCTGGGCATATATAGGCATAACTGTGTATGTATATAGAAAACATCATACATATATGTATATGTGTGTGTATGTGTGTGCGCGCGCGTGTGTGTTTGTGTGTGTGTGTGTGTTTATGACTTTTTGCTTGTGTATGAAGTGTCGGAGGAAAGCAGATAACGTAAGTGCATCGATAGACGTTTATTTCATGTTTAAATGCGTTAGACATTTACATATCTACGAGGGGGTGTGCGTTTACTCAGAACGGGTGCTGAAAAATTCTAAGCCCGACCCACTTCAAAAAATCATTATTCCAATTTCATAAGACTGATTTCGGGAAGTGGGTCGAGCCGAAAACTTTTCTGCAACCCATTCTAATGTACAAAAAAAAAATTTTTTTGGCTATATTATGATGAGTGTAATCTGCAATGGATTTTAAAGTAGATCAATAAATCTGTAGTTAGGCTTGCTTGATATATAAGCTTAGTTTTGATGATTGTTTAATAATCGGTCTGTGTGATTAATGTTCACGGTTGAATTAAGGGCATTGACAAAAAGACGTTTAAGTTGAAAGATGTTTTGTTGAGTAAAATAAATGTGATTGTCATTAAAAGGCTACGGAATTACTGATTATACTGGATAAATTTTATTGATTTTAAATTATATAGTTGTCTCAGTACTAGACGAATGTGTCTATATGCTTAATTCTCGATGTCTTTGTGTACATATGAAATCATTTTGCTTTTTTGTATATTGTAATATATCTATGTGTGTAGTTAAAAAAAAACGTCTACTGATTCGAAAGTGTGTAATGCAAAAATATTTTTATTACTTAAAACTCAATCAAGGCAATAATTCCACCAAGACGCAAAGGGCTACTGGGAGTGAAAGAGAATGAAAAGACTTAAGAAGGAACCGGAAACCCAATCCTAAACAGGAAACAACGTATAAACCACTGCTCCTGTTCAAAAGACTGGGGAGAAGTGTGAACCGGACGATAGCCGAAACTATATGGTCCGATTGAGAAGAAAACAATAAACTGAAAACAAAATTTCAGCCTTTTGCCGGAGATGTTAGAAGTAGAGCTATAGATTTTAGAAGGAATCGGGAACCCAACCCTAAACAGAAAGCAAGGGATAAAATTGTATTCCTGTTGAAAAAAAATGAAGAGGAGTGTGAAGCGGGCGATATAAGAACCTATCTACTTCTATTTATATGAAATGATATTCTTCTAATGTCTATATTTTTGTACAACTATTCATACTACTTAATTATAGGCAGAAAAAACTTTATCTAAAAACGTATATATTCATACTGATGGATATAAATGCGTATAGACAATATATATATATATATATATATATATATATATATATATATATATATATATATATTAAAATAGATCGTATAAAAAACATGTTTTTATGTGTACAAGTTAATGCTATTTTGTGGTGCGTTGATGTGTGTGTTAACATATGTGTACGCATTCGTGCTGATTTTTACATACAATTGTTGCTTGATTTTACAACATACCAAAACTTGTGGGATTATTTTATCAAATTTTGTATGGGGCATACAAACAGACTATTTCGGAGTAAGTGTCACCCAGACATGCTTCACCAAGTGTTTTTTCCACGCCACGAATCCCTTTAATTAAAACTATATTATTTTTTCCATTCTTTTATTAGTGGACACACGATATATTGCAAAGGTGTGTCTATTATAATCATTAATATTTACGTGCGTGGAGAAAGGACAGGTGAGAATTGGTGGATGTAAGTTGCTCTAACACATACGCTGACAACTGCGTATCTACCAGTAAAAATATTACTAGAACATGGCTGCAGAAACGTATAACTGTAGAATTTCCTTTTCTCCTATGCCTATAAATATGCCTTGGAATATGTAACAACGCTGTATTGCTTTGTTTCAGCTTAAACAAAGAATTTAATTATTTTCGTGTAGCTGTATTTTACAAGCACGAATCACCTGTCGGATAGCAGTAGTTATAGAAGCCATTGCCCCTGAGTTCATATTTTAAGCGTAAAAAGGGCTACCAAAAATTTGAGTAACGAGGAAAATAATTAATTGATCTTAACCGTAGTCTGGACATGTCGTTGTGACTTTTAAAAAAAGCAACAATTTTAGAAATATTTATAAAAATATAAAAAAATATTTCAGCATTAAAAACTCCATTAGGTGTTAACATGACGCATAATTAAATAACTGACAGACTATGACGTGGTTGCTTTAAAATAGACTCTTGTACCAAATACTGGTACCTATGTCTATTTTTTAACTTTAAAAATAAGGATTCAAGTTCAAACGACCAACCAGGATTAATCTATCCCTGGAATAAAAAATAATCGAACCGCTGTGAAAATTATTAAATATATAGAATCTAGACGATTCTGGATGTATCACTTTCAGAGGGACAAGAACCCTTCCAAAAAAAAAAAAGAAAAAAAAAAGAGGTTATCTATCAAATAAATGTTCATCAACAGAGACGTTTCGACTTTGAAGGCACGTTGTAAATCAATACGTTTTCTCATCTTCAGACCCATTCGTGTTACTTCAAAACTCAGATCCACCCTCTGATGTTAACTGAACGACCCTTAGTGGCAGTTAATGTATATGTCCGAAATAGGAATAAACAAGATTTTGAATTCAGAGTTGTCCATCTCCTATACGGGTTACCAACCGCGGCTAGATTCCGCTCTTCCTTACTATTTAACCCATAGCTGAGCGGGGAATAGATGGATTTCTACCATTTGCAAATGTATGTGGGCGAAATTGAATATAATGATCTTAACCCTATATCGAACCCGGATCGCTGATTTCTCGTTCGAAGCCTTTAACCAATGCACCAATTAAATACAGAGGAAAATATAAAAGGTCAATATTTACCTGATCTCGAACCAAATATCTATTTATATATTCCAGTATGAATAAAAAATGTTTTCCAATCCGACAGACAGGGAAATGACAATATGGATTCAAATAAAACTAAAAGTAACAAATAAATAAAAGTATTTTTAAAAGTAATAAAAATAAAAAGATTTATAGAAATGATATAAATATAAAAAAAATTATAAAAATTATACAAATCTTTCTAAAAATATTAAAAAAAGAGAAACCTTTAAAATTATAAAAGCTATTATAAAAAAAAATAAAAATAGCGAAACCTTTATGTAAACAATAATAAATATTTAGAAGCTATTATAAAAAGAGAACTTTATAAAAAATAATAAAAATAGAGAAAACTTTATGAAATTTATAATAAAATTATAAAAGCTATCATAAAAAAAATTATAAAAATAATAAAAATAGGGAATCCATTATGAAAACAGTAATGAAAATATAGAAGCTATTATAACAAAACTTTATAAAAATAATAAAATAGAAAACCTTTTATGAAAATTATAATAAAAATATAAAAGCTATTATGAAGATATTTATAAAATAATAGATATAAAAATCTATTATAAAAAACATGTATAAAATAATAAATACAAAAGCTATTATAAAAAAAAACATGTATAAAATAATAAATATAAAACCTATTATAAAAACATGTATAAAATAATAAATATAAAACTTTTATAAAAAACATGTATAAAATAATAAATATAAAACCTATTATAAAAAACATGTATAAAATATTAAATATAAAACCTATTATAAAAACATGTATAAAATAATAAATACAAAAAAACTATTATAAAACATGTATAAAATAATAAGTATAAAACCTATTAAAAAAACATGTAAAAAAAATAATAAATTTTAAACCTATTATAAAAAATGTATAAAATAATAATACAAAAAATAAAATAAAACATATAAAATAAAAATATAAAATTATAAAAAACATGTATAAAATAATAAATATAAAAGCTATTATAAAAAACATGTATAAAATAATAAATATAAAACCTATTATAAAAAACATGTATAAAATAATAAATATAAAACCTATTATAAAAACATGTATAAAATAATAAATATAAAAACCTTTTAAAAAATATATAAAATATTAAATATAAAAAACCTATTATAAAAAAACATGTATAAAATAATAAAACTTGACAAATCTTTATGAAAAAATAATAATAAAAAGATGAAAGCTATTATAAAAAAAGTTATAAA